TCTAATCTAATCCAAACGAATCTAATCCAATACAATGTAAGATAATCTGATCTAATCCAAAACAAATCTAATCTGATCTAATCTAATGTAATCTAATCTGATCTAATCCAAAACAAATCTGATCTAATCTAATCCAATCTAATCCAGTCCTATCCAATACAATGAAATCTAATCTGATCTAATATAATCCAATCTAAACGAATCCTTTGTAATCTAATCTGATATAATCCAATAGAAAATGAATCCAATCTAATCTAATCTAATCTAATTAAATGTAAACTAATATAATATAATCCAATCTAAACAAATCCAATGTTATCTAATCCAAACAAATCTAATCCAATACAATGTAATCTAATCTGATCTAATCTAATCCAATCTAAACTAACATAATATAATCTGATCTAATCCAAACGAATCTAATCCAATCCAATGTAATTTAATCCATTCTAATCCAATCTAGTCCAATCCATTGTAATCTGTAATCTAATGTAAACTAATATAATAATAACAATAACCCAATCTAATCCAGTCTAATCTAATCCAATCTAATGTAATCTAATCTGATCTAATCCAATCTAAATAAATATAATATAAACCAATCTAATCTAATACAATCTGAACTAATATAATATAATCCAATCTAATCTAATCTAATGTAGTCCAATGTAATGTAATCTAATCTAATCCAATCAAAACTAATATAATATAATCCAATCTAATCCAATCAAAACTAATATAATATAATCCATTCTAATGTAATCTAATTCAATCCCATCTAATCTAACCAAGGAGCATCTGATGTACTATCTGTCCATCCATGTGTATCTAATCTAACCTAATCCAATCTAATCTATCTAGGAGTACGTGGAGTACTATGGAGGACCAGGAGTACAGCACATAGCCATGAACACTTCAGACATAATTACTGCAGTAAGTACTTTCTGGAGTACTCTGGAGTACTCTCTGGAGTACTCTGGTTTTGCCTTTGAAACTCTGCAGAATGAGCCTTTAATACGTCCATTTCTTGGCAGATCACCAACCTGAAAGAACGCGGCATGGAGTTCATGTCGGTGCCCGACACGTATTACGAACAGCTGAGGGAGAACCTGAAGGGGTCAAAAGTCAAGATCACAGAGGACCTGGACGTCCTACAGGTCAGGACCGGGATTTTAGCCGCGACTCACAACGTATCAAGTATTTACTTTGAAACCGGCAGCAGACGTTTACGATCTTGTTTTCTCTCTCCGTTGCGAACCAGGGCTTGAGCATCCTGGTGGACTATGACGACAATGGATACTTGCTTCAAATCTTCACCAAACCCGTCCAGGACCGGCCCACGGTGTTCCTGGAGGTCATCCAGAGACACAACCACCAGGGTTTTGGCGCTGGGAACTTCAAATCCCTCTTCGAAGCCATCGAAGCCGACCAGGCCGCCAGAGGAAATCTGACCGTGCTGACGCCAAACGGAGACGCGCAGAACATCTGAAACCTTGTCTCGTCTTTTATTCTGACACCACGTGGGCCACATGTGGGAGATGCTAATGTGGCCCACACACCGTGCTAATGCTAATTTGCTAATTGAGAATCCACA